AAAAATTAAAACTAATTAAAAGTAATAATATTTTTAAATATTTATATTTCTGTTGCTTAAAGAAGATGAAGAACATTTATCAGTAGATATATTGTCAATATTTTTAAACTGTGAGTGATATGTTTATGTATGTATGTATGTACTTCCAAATCAACCACAATCAGTTATCCGTTATGTGGTTGCCCGATAATTTGGGCTTTCCGTTCCCGATAAAATTAGAGAGTTATCACTCCTTGGCAGTTCTAATATAGATTAATTTCATGTAATTACGAATACTGTTCTTTCTATTTTGTCGTTTTTTCTTTTCTCCTTTTCTATTGTTTCTTTCTTACATTAAAAAAAACATATTTTATAAACATATAACATACGAAAAATGTGTATAACTCTGTGCTGTAGCAAAAAAAAGAATTATTCTAATTTGGGAAACGTGTTTTTGGGTTTCTCCAAGCAATGTTTAGCATTTCTCATGATTTAAGGAATTTCCGATGACGAAACCAGTGTAGAAAGAAACCAATGTAAAAAGACTAATGCATACATTAATAGCAATAATAATAATAATAATAATAATAACAATAATAATAATAACAATGATGATAATAACAATGATGATAATAACAATGTTCAGTGGCGTAACTACCCGGGGGGGCAGAGGGGGCTGCGATCCCGGGCCCAAAGGTCGTTGAGGCCCTTAAAACATATCGAAATCAAGTTGACAATACCTTGTTTAATTTTATTTTTAATTACGCTGTCCAATACCATTTGCCTTGACATTTTATAAGTCATTTCCAGTAGATCTCTATCGAAAGATATAACTCACGCAAAAGTATTAAAAACGTCTATTTTAGCAACTTTGACTAATTGTGAGATTTTCTCAAAAACCTGACGTGATACGTTATTTTTACGGCCAGATTCGTCAGCGCTAAAAAAATCTATCAGAAATGACTTGATTAAACTTAAGGCAAAAGAAAATCTTATTTTATCGATTAATGTTATCATTTGAAATATAATTTAATTATTTGACAGTTAAATTAGAAATAAAATTCCGTATTTCCAAATTTGTATTGCAGTTGCACTTTACATTCCGCTCTGTTTCTGTCTCTGTGATTGCAGTAAGATTTTAAAACGTTCTGTTTATAAAACTGTAATAACAACATTTGAAGATTAAATTTAGAATTTAAATATAATTTTTTTAAACTTTTAACAAATAGTGGTAAGATAAATTTACAAATTTATTTACAAATTTATGTTACAAGTTGATTTGTCTGATCGGCGCTCGCGTTCCGCTGTGTTGTGCGCTGACAACCGCACTGCTTACTACACCGGAGAAGAAAAGTTTCGAAATTTGTAGACGAATTAAATTTTGACGGAAGATTATCAGATGCAAGAAAATATTTTCAGACGCAGATTTCTTACAGAAAAATGGATATAGTGATTTTGCAACTGAAAACACTTTTTAATTTAAACAAAGTTTAAATAAAATTGCAAGTTTTTTTTCACCTAATATTTCTCAAAATATTTGCATTTTAGCTGAAGAACAGCTTGAACAGTCTGCTTTAAAACTAGCTCAAAAGTATGCAGATAATTTGTCAGTAAATCTTGCAAATCAAATTACACAGTTAAAAACTATATTTGGAAATAAACTCGGTGAACTTAAATCGGTATATGATCTAACAAAATTTTTAATAGCAGAAAATCATCCACTAACTACGAATTATTCTGATCTCTGTACAGCCTGTATATTGTTTCTCACCCTTCCTGTAACAGTTGTTCACGTAGAGCGAGCATTTTCCAAATTAAAAATGATTAAAAATTATCTAAGAAGCACAATGTCTCAACATCGCTTGTCAAATCTAAGTATTATATCCAAAAACGCAGGGCAAAAAATCTTTATACAGACAAAATAATTCAGTCGTTCGCTAACGCAAAGTCGAAAAGAAAGCTGTGAAGCACGATCATACCATTTTTCTTTCTTTAAACTTAAAACTATTTATTAACGTTTTTGTAGTTTGTTTTCTGCATTGTTTAATATTTAAAAGAAATATAGTGTATAAGTACATACCCAGTAAACACAGAACATTGTAGCAACATTGCCGCAATATTGCTGCAATGTCCTGTGTTTACTGGTTAATTGGTTTTTTACTTTATGATATTTAAACCGCTTAAGCCTAACCTAATTACTAAGGAAAATGTATTATAACTATTGTTTTTAATGACAGGGCCTTCAAAAGATCATGCCCCCGGATCCAAATTTTGAAGTTACGCCACTGACAATGATGATAATAACAATGATGATAATAATGACGATGATAATAATAATAATAATAATAATAATAATAATGATGATGATGATAATAATAATATTAATAATAATGATAATTTTCTAATGAAAAATTATATTTTATAATTATCACATGGTTATTTTTGTTATATATATCATGAAAAAAAATCTTAAATTAATTATATACAATAAAATACTCAATATGTGATAAATTAATTAAAATTTTAATTTAGAATTATATATTTACAACACAATCCGCACATAAAATAAAATCCGAAAAATTTCGACTTGTGTCACCTTTTTGTGGTATACAACACAAAAAAACCTTACAAAAGTAAAAAAATTTGCCAAGTACATAAAAAATAGCTCAACTTGTAAGCAACAAAAAGTTTAAAAAACTTTTACTTCTAAAAACTAACAATCAAATAACTTACTTTAAAAAATAACCCTAAAAATTTTACCCTAAAAAATATTATTTAAAAAAATATTTATCAACACTAAATATGAAATCAATAGACACTTAGCCAAGTATTGTGACGTGACGCTTTCTGTCGCGTCCGTCACAAGGGCAGTAGCCTCCGATCAAGAGGGCGGAATTTAGAGTTGCACCCTCCGATCGAAGAGGGAACGATTTCTCCCGCTTCGACAGGTCTTGCGTTTCTGTTTATTTAACGTTTCTGTTTTGTGATTGATGTAATCTGCCGACAAGTTTAAAGTACTTTAGGCGGTAGGGTGTATAACCAGGTTATTGTGTTATGTAATTAATGTTCGGAAGAAACAAACGCCGTGGGATCTATGAAGACGACCTTGCGCCAATGGAAAGGTAGCTTCAAAATATCCACGAATAAAAGGTCATGTACCGAGTCTTGTGTTGAGTATTGTCATAATAGATAGCAGATACCGATTCTCAAATTTTACAGGACCGAGGTTGTGAGAAAGCCCCGATAAGGTCCACGATAAAGGGAGCACAGCAGTGCGACCAAATGCCGGATGACGTTGCTGCCATCACCGAGAGTCCAAGAAGACGGTCGGTGTGGTCTTGGCCTGGCCAGCCGGGCAGATCGAACCGGAGGACGTCAAACTGAGAGAAATTCATAATTTCAAATTATCGGCTGTTGGCGAGCACGAGGAAAAGAATAAACAAATGGCGAGGTCGGAGCTGTTTACGATCGACAAGCGACTCGAGAAAAATTTACAAACAGAGAGCGCTAATTACTGATGCGCGAAAACTCGACATGAGCCAGGGAGATTTCAGAGAAATCACTGTTCGACAAGCCAGCAACCGGGAAGAAGCAGCTCCAGAAGGAGGGTCCTGACGAGCGTAGTCATACCACCTTTATAAGGTCATCATTCAGGGTAGCTATAACTCCGTGATATCGGCTAAAGCTAACACTTCCGGCGGATTTCGTTACCGCGAGAATTTTGCTAGTATTTCAATCGAAATGTGAAGTATCGATACCGCTTCTTGTGAATTTTAGAGCAGGAGGTTGGCTAGCCCCGGTTACCGTATTACTGTATCTCTCTTCGAGACGCTGTGCCGTCGACAGTCCGAACGCTCGTAATCTGAGAAAAGATTATATCGTTACCGTTTCCGCCTTACCGAACTTATCAGATACCGTTGACGTTGTTTTGTGAGGATACCGTTTGATAATAATTTGTAAAGAATCTGATTCGCGGAATTTGCGCGGACTGCAATGCCGTTTCACAGCAAGAGTTTGAATACGGCCTTGTGGCGTAACGATCAACTCGTCGCGAAAACTTGAGTGTCTCTATCAAAATTACCGTTGATATTGCGTTTGTCAGCTACCAAAAAATTGTGTATTATCGCTAGTACGGATTTTGCATTGGAGCGTCGTTTCTGAGCGAGACTTTAGATTCACGCCTTTATAGAAATTGGGGCGTCTCTGACAGAACTCTCACTGTTAATGTGTTTTCCGATGTTACCGTTTTGGGCCTGCATTGGAGCGTCGTTTCTTGGCGAAATCTCGGAGGTTGCAGTTTTGGAAGAAATTGGAACGTCTCTGGCAAATCTATCACCGTATCGTTTATCGTAACGTTTCTTCTGAGTATTGTTTTGCGTATCGTTTCATATGCCGTTTCTGAGTGTTGCGTTCCGATTGTCGTGTCTGAGTATCGTTGTGAGTAACGTATGTAAGTATATGTTGTAGTTCTTTATACTTAGAGCTTTTAAATTTTCAAAGCCGTTTAGATGATGCTTTTTCAAGGTCAAGTTCAAGTTTTTGTGTGATGTAATAAATAATCGCTTAGAGTCTGTGACTGCTAGCATTCGCACAAAGTTAATCATATTAATGTTCTTAGATAAATTGCACTTTTTGAAAATTATTGTGTCATAAGTTCAATAAGAATCACGCAACGTAATATTCCATACATCGGTGTTAAGATTTGACAAGTCTGTTGAGTTGATACAAGTGACCTATGTAAAAAAACATTTTTGATGTAAATTTGATTTAATTAACTAAAAGTTCAAAAAAAAAAAGTTTCTTAGTAAAACTTTTCATGAATTTGATACAAAATTACTTTTTAAAGTAAAATTTTGAATAAATAGTTGTAAGTGAGACATTGAAGAACTTTTTAAAAAAAGATAGAACAGAAAATTTTCTTAGAAAATACCTTGCTCTACGAAAGATATTATTAAATATAAAGATAACTTAATCGTATAAAGTTACGATGAGAGAGAGAGAATAACGTAGTCGTATAAAGTTTTACCTATTTTTATAATTCGATGTCTTATAATATTTCTGACTTGTAACAATATAACAAAGAATCTGTTTGTATCTACATATATAAGATGTCTTCTAATTTTATAGCTTTTGGTTTAGTTTTTGTAGTAGTCCTGATTGTTCACATTGTATTTTGCGCAATACAAATTACATCATTGCGTAAGATATGACAGTACACGCTATAAAAAAAAATAATTAAAAAATTCTGAGATATACAATTTTTTCCGAGAGAAAGTAAAGAATAAATCAATACAATGCATTATCAACAAAATTGCATTCTTTCAAGCAAACCTTCGAAATAAACTTATACTAACAGCTTATACTAACTTACGTCACCGTTTAATGGCAATATAAAAAAAAGAAAATTAAATATACTTTTAAAAAAAATACTGATCTTAACTCCCACGACATTATTGATTTTACTGATGCTTACAGCCGTCTTTGACGCGCCGTTTGTGCTTCTTCTCATGCGTATTAGATGGCGACTGAACCTGATTTCGTCGCTGCCCTTGAATTGGCATATAACAAGGTACGTCATCAGTCATCAGCTCCTGCGGCGGCGTTGGCAGTGCATACGTAGGGCTTACTGTATTATTCGAGCTGCTCGAAGTACCCCGATGTGCGTTGTAAGTGGGATCGATGATGGCCGCGACGTTTGCCATTTCTCGCACGTTATTGGTATCATCCAGCGTCTGGATCTCTTCAGGATCCGGATACTGTGGATAATTGACGGGATTACGAGCTCGATTTTTGACCGGCGGAGTCCGTAAGTCCAGTCTGTTTGGTCTCTGAGGTCGTTCCACCAGATTTGGCTCGTCCAACTGATGTTGCTGTTGCTGATGCTGCAGACGTTCTCGCTCCAGCTTCTTCTGCTTTGCTCTCTCTCTCGCTCTGCACGCTTTCGCGCGCTCCTTATCTTGAAGCACACGCGCTAATTCAGCATCCTGCGCCTCCATTGCTAATTTCTGATTCAACATAATTTGCTCGCTTTCCGGATTCTCGTGATTGTCTACCTCTTCTTTTTTCTGCAACTTCCTTGCCAGTTCCTGTTATGTGAGATGAGTTTTGACGCTTGTAAGCATTTTTTATGTTGACAAAGAATTGTATGTCTTTTAGGTATTAATAAAGATATTAACTTTTAAGCAAATTTTTGGAATTACCTCATCTTTTTCTTCCTGTATACGCTTCTCAATCTCCTGCTGCATAGCCTCATCTCCCAACCTTAGTTGTAATCTCATCGACTCTTGCAATTCACGTTCTCTCTGCTTCTCTTCTCGCTCCAGAGAAAGTGCAATCTGCCTTGCAACGAGCGCATCTCTCTCTTCTCTTTAAAAAATAAAAAAATATTTCGGAATATTTGACATTTTACGAAACAATGTATCTTTAAATATCATTGTTACTAACTGTTGTTGAACATAGCTTTGATATCTCAATGCTTCTAATTCCTGTTCAACTTTGGCTCGCGATAAATCTTCCCTCACTTGCGCATTACGTGTTTTGTTGCCGATGTAATGCTCCTTGACTATGAATTGTAATAAAGAATCATATTAACTAAGTATTAACCATACATTATTAAAGTTAACTTTTTATAAACATTAAACATTAGTAGATATATTATGCATATTAGTTGTGATATTGTATATTTTTTTCAATATTCTATTTAAACAGAGAAATTTCTATGAACAAAAGAGCAGCACTATATAATTATTAATTAATTTTGCATTTTTTTTCTAAAAATATCCGGTTTTTTTTTTAATTATCTTGTAATTTCAATTCAGGGGCAAAGTTTTCATTGTTGCAACATTATTGCGCTTGCTTCCATTCTTCCTGAGTTGGCCAATTTAATTAACTCAGGGCAGTAGATTATCTTGGGACGACCCTGTTTAAATCTGACATTCTCTCTGGCGCCACAAAAGACAAACGTATATATAAGATTTTCACATACTTTCTTCATCCTGAAGCCGATAAGCCAGCGCTTCGTCCTCATGCACCAACCATTCACGACACACTGCAAAATTGCAAATTCGCATTAGAGATGCCAATACAATGAGTAATCGTGACGCGCGCGTGATCAAGACAGATCGGTTCTCGTTTAGTTGTACTTTCTCTTGCACTTTCCATATCTAAAATGAAATAAACTCGTATTCTCGCGCTCTTTACGGAGAGAAGGGAGAAAAGAATCAAGTGCAGAAAGTGCAAGCGAATCTTGTGAGAGAAGGCGTTTGCGAGAAGAGAAGAAAAAATTCAATGTCTTACTTTCGTTTACTCGACCCGCCTTCGGTGGCGTGTCCGAGCTCAGCACAGATTTCGCCATTGCACGTTCTCGTCGATTTCACGCGGGACAAGCAGCAGAATCATCGACGAAACCGCCTCTGTTTACAACCACCTTGCGCGAGAGCAGTCGTGATGTTGTTTCCTCTCCATCTTGGAACGGACAAGTGAATAGCCACGGCTACATATACACACATACAGAGTTTTAAAATTATATATCGCACATTTGCAAGAAAAGTGCAATACACAAGTCAAGACACAAGTCAAAATTTTTCGAAATTTATGTCCTAATTGTGTTCAAAATATATCGGTCTTCAATTATTAAAAGTGATAGAAGTTGAATTTAAATACTTTCCGCGTGAATCCGATATGTTTAGTACTGCCGTAAATAATTAATTTTAAAATTATTATCGATGGAGTAGCAGGAGAATCTCAAGCCAAAGAAGATTGTAGTTCTAAATATCTTTTATTATGACCAATGTTTTTCATAAGCAGCAAACGTTTCGGCTAATCATTCAGCCATTTTCAGTGCTACCGTTACAAATCTGTTTGTTAGAAAATTGTAGATTCAATTAGTCATTATTAAAACTCTTTTGGAAGTGAAATCACGTATGTGATTGCGAGAAAATCTTATTTATGTAGGTGTTAACCAAATGTCACCATGTTCATTACAACTTTTAAAATTATTGTTCAACCAAGTAAAGACATGTGAAATTATTTTCCATAAAATCAAACTTGTTTCAGACAATTTATAACTTGCGACAGAATTTAATATAAAAATTAATTTATAATATTATTAATAGGAAACGTTATTTTTAATGCAATTTCTTTTTTTTTTTCCTGAACAATTTGATATTTTTGACGTGTATTATTTTTTTCAGGTGTGCGATATGTGTATACATCAATATGAAACGTTCATGATTTAATGAATACGTACACTTATTGTACCCATGCTGCTAGAATATATGTTGAAAACAGAATTATTATTATCTATTGCACAATTTATAGAAACTGACGAGTCCGGATATGTACATTGACACTTCTTGTTTGCTGGACATTTGATGGCAAAAACGCTTGTCATTGCAATGAACAGAATTACGATGCATGTTTTATGACAGTTACTCATTTTTATCTGATTAATCTACAAAAACTATTGAGTAAATGTATAATTAAATAAAGATTAATGCAATAATTACATAAAAAGAAATTTTTTTTTAATTTTCCGATATTGCCTGACATTAAATAGATTTATTCCTTAAAATTTCAAACAAACCTTGAGTAATTGAGAAATCTTAGAAACTTCCTTAAAGACGCATTTTTCTTGCTAGCATTTTTTATTATAATGTATATAAACTATAATGCATGGATTGCTCCTGACAATTTTTTGCATTGATAGGTGCAGTTGTTTGTTTACGAAGTGGCTAGGTTTTATTTAACTGTGTATGTAAATTGTATTAGAAACAAAATAGTAAAATTATTAGACGCTGTTTATTGTCCACTTAAGTGACATATAAATATATATGTCACTCTTGCAAATAATAATTTTAATCTTTTTTATAATCTTTAAATATTATAAGAAGTAGGAAGCAATGTTCAGAAAAACAGAAATCGGTTATGGTTGAAAATAAATTACATCAATAAATCGAAAAATATTGTAGCCGCCGATATTTATTTCTTAACAATTGCAGGATTTACACATTTTGCAAACGCTTTTACTACAGCGCGTATATGCGTTAAATTTTACACTACATACGTGACTGATAATTAACAGAAGGTGATGTATATGAATAAATTCATAAAAATAAAATTTAAACTGTTTACTCACCTTGCATTACACTAGATAAATTGCAAATGTTTTTCGAACTCCGTTTCTAGATTTCTTTTTCTAATAGAAAAATAATGATGACAAATAATGCTGATTAATATTATTTCTATCTACGGGTATCACAAATAAGCACAGCTTGGCATGTTCCGTAACATTTTTGATAGATTGGTTTTTTTTCAATTCTGAACTACGTTCCTTAGAAAATTCATATAATCCATGGATTAACAAAACGACATAAAAGAATATCATGTTCAGCTAACTTACAAATTACATTTCACACTCGCAAACAATATATTTCAAAAAATTGTTAACTGCAATCAATCATTCGTTAGATGGAAGTTTGAACTCTTTTGTCTTTAATGAAGTTGGAGTGTTGCTACTCCTAAGCTGGTTCGACGTAGACTGACTGAGTAATTGCGTACTTTTCTTTTTTTCTTCTGACTGTATCCGCTCTTTTAGTGTTTTTTTTTTGTATTGTTTCTCTGTTATTTATTCTTTTTATAATTATACAATATACAAAAATGCGTTTTATTGTATGCGTTATACATAAGAAATAGAAAGCACAAAACATAAATAATTGATTTTTCTTGAGACTATGTTTTAGACTTTCTAAAACAATTAGCATTTGACGTAATTAATCTTTAATTATCAGCAGAATTTCCTATCACGAAACCACATAAAAGGAAGCAAAAAAGATATGGAGAAAGATTACTTTATTGCGTTCTAATTTTTTAAAAACGAGATGTTTGTTACATTATTATATTTATGCTATACATATTACATATTAATATTTAAATTTAATTACAAAATAAGATAAACAAAAATTAAAACTGATTTAAATTAATAATATTTTTTAATATTTATATTATTATTGCTTAAAGAAGATGGACAACATTTGTCAGTGAATAATTTGTATTGTCAATGTTTCTAAATTGTGAGTGATATGTTTATGTATGTATTTATATTTTGCAATATTTCTGCATAGCTAATTAAGTTGTGCAATTAATTAAAGTTAAGTATCATATAGGGTTACCCATTTTCAATGTTAACCTAAAATATTTTGAGAAAAATTGCATTATTCAATAAATGTTTTATACAAAAGTTCATACAAAAGTTGAATTTTAGAGAGGCAATAAATCTAAGGCATGACGACATGCACCATTCAATCTTACTGATAACAGGTTTTGTCACAAAGAAAATTGATTAGTTTATTTTTTGGTACGATAAATGTTTTAATTTAAGTGGCGATTAAAAAGTAAAATATAAAATGTGTTAAAAAAGTAATAAATATTTGTAGATATTGTTTTAATATGACTGTTGGAAAGTATAGTGAAATTGAAAAGAAAAAGGAATTTTTGTTTTTGTCTTATTGTTAGAATAAAAAAGCCGCTCGCTACTGCGTTTTTTTTTTTAAGGACGCTGTAATTTTTTTCCTGCTTTTTCCCCAACAGTGACAATTTATGTTTGCTTCAGTTTTTATTTTTTTGAAATTATTTTGACATATATGTATTTAGATGCTACGCAAAATTTTTATAAATTTATTGAGCTTATTTATATTTAATTCAATTATCATTATCTTTCTTTTTTATATTTTAAGAATCGCAATGCAGCGCGAAATTTAAACGGCACATCGAGATAATCTGCACGAAACATGCTAATTGTCAAGCCGCGTATCGAGAAGCACCTATATCCTGTAGGATTGACAAGAAACTTTTTTCAAAGCACGGTAAATAAGTTTTCGAAATATTCAATTTTAAACATAAGACATCATGTTACATTAATATTACGGCAACAATTAATATATTAGGATAGATTTAGATAAGTAGTGAGACGGTTTTGACTTAACTACTTATAGATGCTAACCCATTTATTTCCATTGGGACAAATATGTTTTATGATAGGTTCAAAATACTCTACTGGGACATATATGTGAGACAAGATGCCATTTAAATAATTAGTATCAGTAGATTATGAACATGTGTATAATGTGCTGATTTATTTGATTTATTTTAATTTTTTTATATTGTGTTTATTTTTGAAGTATATTATATAAATTTTTTTTAATTTGCAAAAATAGATCAAGGGTAAAAGGGTTAAATAAAACAATATGTACAGAACAAAGTAAATTTTAATTTATTTTTTTTTGTGAAGATATTTTGCTAGAAAAGAATTTTACAATGAATGTTTTTTTTTTTTTTTTT